AGCGAAATCTGAATTTTAAAGCCTTTTGTCCATGTGAAATGCCTCGGGGAAGCATAAAAGTGAGAGATAAATGCAGTGTGTGCGTATATAAATGATATATGAAATGTGCATAGAAATTAGGTAAGTAGATAGTCGCGGTCACATACGGTGCATTTGTGGCTTTAATTGATGGCCAGTTTTCGATTTATTGCATTGCCCAAATAGATATTAATCAATTTTTGGATTATTTATTAACCTTGGTTTCTCCGGGGCGAGAAAGAAAGATCCCACTTTTACTTTTTTACCCTCCTCAGTAGCGACGAACTGGCAAGACACTAAAATAAGCTGGATAATTTGGCAATAACTTTCTTTTTCTGAAAGATTAGACTAAAACGGCTTGTGCTGATAGTTGTAATAGTAATTCCATTAAGCTCTCTTCAATAGCTTTTTAAGTAGGTCTTTCCCAAAAACCATGTTTATCACTGCAAATTGATTTGTGCAGAGTGTGAATATGCTTAGGATGTGTTCTTTGGCATTTCGGCCAGTCACCTGGAAGTATGCAATCACATAATGCACATAATGCCAAAAGTCTATTGTCAACAAACACATTCCCATTGCCGGTCGACTCCTCCTTTGGCCTGAGTTGAGCCCCGAAGTATGTGCATGCAGCTCCCAAATGTTTGGCTTGAGTTTGGACTGCTCATGGAACGAGGGGAGAGACGGTAGAGAGTCATGGCCATCAGAATTGCCAGAGGAGACTGTTGGCCAAGGCAATAAAATATGAATTTATGGCCTATTTGCATGGCTTTCTGGTCCAAAATCGAGAGCGGTTGTTGACCGGACAACGCAACAATTCGAGCATTTTTACTTGATAGAGTCGAGACTCACTGCATAGCCTTGCTAAAGTCCTAAGACTTTGAGCTTACGGCCTGCATATCCTCTACTAATGCATTGGCTGTTCAAACTACCAAAATATGCTTATAAACTCGGCAAGATCCTTGCAATATGCCTGTGAAAATGTCAGAAGCGAAGAAACAGTCCAACCCGGCCACATTTCGGGTCTCTCATTGGCAAAGCCTTTGCGGTCTTAACTTGGCTAAGGCTATGGGTATTTTCGGTACCAGAGCGCTTTATGCAGAAGCATGCGCTTAATGCATTGCCGGAGATCCAGCTCCCAGAGTGCCTTCACAGATGTCGAATGGAAATAGGCCAAAGTTTATGACATGCCTGAGGGCGCCTCACTGGCGTATTGAATGCAGACGCACAATTTCTAATTGTCTAACTCAATTTAGGGCCCAGCCAACTCTGCGTACCCCACCCCGTTCCGTTCCAAGTTTAGTGTCAAATGGGTAAATTTGATTACGAGTCTTAGTTGGGTTATGGTAATCGAGTTGGAAATACTTCAAAGTTTCGATAATAACGATGGTGGGTGGCCTTGTCGCTACGATGCCTACGATTCAGCGCCATTGAAAGGCTTTCAGTTCGAAATAGTCGAAATAATAAATGAATAACCCGACTTGAGAGCTGGAGCTGCTGAGGCTGCTCTCGGAGCTGCTAATAGCGCGCAAAAGTATGCCATGAAATATGCATAAAATCACTTGCAAATGCGCTAAGCGAGCGACTTGGCATGGGTGGCTGGCTGAATCGTTTCAGTTTTGTTGCCGCCACTGCTGCATTTTGGCAAACGAGCTGCCAAATCAAAAATCGTTGAGCGTGTGAAGTGTCAGTTGGTGGGGAAGCGGCGGGTAAATGCACATTAGACAGCCATGGCAGTCGACGTTTTGGGGAAATTGCCTGAAAAGGAGTACGGAGTGGCAACTGGGCCGGCCTGGAGATGGTCTTAAATGGATGCGCGCCCCCCAAAAGCAACGCTTTGAGCTCGGCAACAATAAAAAATTCAGCCCATAAATGTTGAATGCTCGAATGCTGAATGCTGAAAACTGAATACTCGAATGCTAAAAGCTTGTGTGTACGGACTCCGTTTAATTGGCCCGAAGTCTCAAATTATGCAATAGTTGCAGTCCAAATTGACCGCAAACAAACCAGCAATAATTTTGAAATCATTTTTGTGCGCCATAATTTATGCAGAAATTCAATCTAAATTAAACATCAAACAAAGCCAAAAGGCCACTCCCCTCGCCGCCTTGCGTGTCTGGGGCGGGGCGTGCAACCGTGCAAACGTGCAAACGTGCAACCGTGCAACAGTGCAACCGTGCAATGCTCATTGCGACACATTCGCACCTGCAATTAGCTCAATGAACCTGCCACAGCCCCCTCCACATGCAGCCGCGCTGTCAGTCATCGCAGGCGGCAGCTGTCCAAAATGTAATATTTAACGCCACTTTATGCAAATTGAAATTATGTTAATGGGCAGTCAACCGGCAATTGATGATGACGTCGGCACGGCACTGGCTATGTGGCTGCAAAAACTGCAACGATGACCATTGCAAGTGCATCCTTTCGAATGCTGACTGACTGTCCGCTGTGTTGCTTAAAGCATTTTGCATGTTTGTTATTCGTGCTCCACCTTCGCCCATTAATGGCGAACAGCGGGCGAATGTGGGTGTGAATGACAAGTCTGCATGGCTCATTTGCATTTTAATAACAATAATCACAGTAATGCACAATAGCTGAAGCAGTAGCGGCAACGACGATGATAACAATAAGCACATGCAATCACACATTCATCGGGAGACGATGCAATGCGATGCAATGCGATAAGCTGTCGGAGCTGCAGTTCATCAAGTTTCCAGTTCTCGGATCCCACAATGGCACGTACCATTCCGTCTTCAGCATTTACATCTCTCTTTCCGCCCAGAGCCACCCACCATCCAGCATCCAGCACCCAACACCCACCACCCACCATGCAGCCCCAACCCAGAAGCCAGAAGCTCCTCTGTTTGTTGTCGTTAACGTTTTGTTTATATTTGCTTAAATGTGCGGCGCACACTCATAATTAGTATGCATGTGTGCATCGCATCTGGGGATGCGTATTTGTGCATGTGCCTGTGCCTGTGCATATACGCGCAGTGGGCGGGTGTTGCAATTTGCCTTTGTTTGGTTTAAAAAGCGCGTTAAATTTGATCATTGTTGCCGGCGGCGGCATTGTTTGCGCTCTCATTTGCCGCTGAAAGTGTGAACCGGTTAGAGCTCCGTCTAACGCACATCATTATCTCTCAATACCATAAAACTCCCCCCCCCATATCTGCCCCGATGTTCAATCTTTCGCACTCACCCGAGGGGACAAAGTCATAAAATTGCGTATACGTACCTAAAAAGAGAAAAAAAGAGAACAAGAGAAGGTTGTTAATTTGGTAGGCAAGTTAGCAGGATGGAGCGGAAGTGAGATAAGTTTGGGCAAAAGGTTCAAGATACTTCCAGTGACAACGCCTAAGTGGGGCTTAAAAATTCAATAAAAAATCACTTAACATTCCATAAGAAGCATTCAACGTTTCACATGCCCGCACACACACACACACACACACACACACACACATACGGAGTTAACTTTGGGGCCAAAGGCTTAGGGAGAAAGCAGCGGAGAAAGCGACAGAAACTGCAGGAAACTAAAGCAATTCCAAATTGAAAACTGCTGCAAATTAATCAAATGCCTGTGCAGCCCGAGAAGAAGGCCAGCGGGATGGGTGGCCGGGGGAAAAACGGTCAAAAGACAAGACTTGCAAACAAACACGATAAAGTCAGTCAGTCGCAAAAATAGAGGCGAACGATGGAAGCCAAAGCCAAAGGCAAGCGACCCTTTTCGAACACAACCCTTCAACCTAACACACACTGGAGCATGGGGCATGGGGCATAGGGTATATACTTATGTATCGCAACGCATTAAATCGATAACACGATTTTTCAGCACGCACACAACGTCGTCGAACCCAGACGGAAATCCAAAACAACTGGCTGACTGTGAGTTAAATTGTCAGTTTCATTACGTGGCAGCTTTGCCCATTCCTGCCGCTTCCTCCTACGGAATGTTCCTGGCTTCCTTGCTTTTTTTTTTTAAAGCTAAATCACTACGTCTGCGCGTGAGTGTACCCCCATCTCCATGCTGCTGCATGGCGACAAGCGATTTTTCAAGTTGCCGCTTCATCGTTCTCCGGAGCTGCTGGTGTTGGTTTGGCCGCTCCGGTTTTCTGGTTTTTTACTCCGTTCTGCGGTTACTGGGCGCCAAAAGAAACTCAATTTTCGACAAACGGCAGAAACGCATCGAGAGCGGAGACGCGAAGCCCTGGGGACTCCTCGAGTGCTGCGTTCTCCAGGACTTAAGGACCTCGGCGCTGGTGGGTTCAATAAACATTTAACTGATTGCCTGGGCGTGTGTTCGTGCCCAGAACTGGCTGATTTTTTGATTTGCAATACACCTGGGAGCGAGACAGCCCTTGGCCCTTTGGCTCTTGGCCACGAAAATGTTTGGCTTATTTGTTAGCGCTGGAAAATAAATTGTCTGTGCGTGCGGTAATTGTAAATTACGTACGGACAGACAGACAGACAGACAGGGCTCCTCGGTTAGTGTCAGTGGAGCAGTCAATGTTATTGACACCTCTCCAACGCAGTCCCCATCCAACCCAGTCCCCCATCCAATCCAATCCAAACCGGTCCCAACCAATTCAATCAGGGGCCGAGCCACAAGCCTCAGAGTAATCCACTTTGGGCGCCCGAAAGTATGCAACAATTTCTTTTAAACTTCCTGCTGACACAAATCAGCCCACGGCCATAACTCAAACTATCTCCACCTCCGCTCGATTCGGCAGAATCAATAACCATAAACAGAAATACCTTATGCTCACGTGGTGGGAGCCGCATAAAAAGTATGCCACATGCTCGGGGAAATCACTAAATTCAGCCCGAGGCAACGAGTACCTACCTACCTCATCATTTATGTGTGGCAGGGGCAAGAAAAGGCAAGGCAAGCCCCAAAACCGTGCCATGCCCATGTTGATAACTGAGAGTGCTTATCACGCCCACTTCTGCCCTGTTGCCCCGCAACCCTATCCTGCCGACAACTGCATGTGACATTTGCATGCTTACTTAAACAGCAAAAAGCAGCCTCTACTCTACGACAGCCACGTCGAGCTTGGCACGTCTGCCTCAACTATGCTTTACATTTTGGCCAGACCCGCTCTTAGACTTCCTCTCAGTCTCGGTCTGAGCCAGGGCCAGAGTCTGGGCCCACTGGTGTTGTCAGTAGGCAGTCGCAATCCTGTCGACGTCACATCAGCACACGTGTGTAGTAAAAATCAGACGTGTGGGCGCCACAGCCGCAGCCGAGCCGAGCAAAGTCGAGTCCTGCCTTCATGTACTTTGATTGCTTGCACGTTACCCGTACAATTTTCGGTATGATGGCGGCAACATTTCATGATTTCTTGTACGTGTTTCTGCCTGAAAGCACGCGTCCTTTCCTCAGCCATCCTGCATCCCAGATCTATTCCGGCTCATGGGTTCCGGAGTAATGTATGCAAGCACTTTTTGTATATGACGCCGTTGCGCTTTGGGTCGTCGGCGTGTTTGTTTGCCTGGTGACTGATGATGGTTTGCCGGGTTTTGCTCAGTTCCCGCTTCGGCCTCAGCTTCCACGGCCATTTCTGCTGCGCAACGAGAGTTTGTCCTGCTAATAAATCAATGACGCCATTCGGCGACTCCAAAGTAGGCAATGATTTATGTCTGGCTAAAGGGTTCCCAGGATTCCCGGACCTAATTGAGTTGCCATTGGTGTATCAGTCATTTCTAGAGTGTTGCCCTCTCAGTCAGAACGATTCTCAAATTTCACGTTGCCTCTTTTTGCACTACATTGTTTTTATATTGTTTTTCAAATCGTTTGTACCATGGAGCTTACTATACCAACGGCGGACTCGCATTGGTCTCTGCGCTTCGTGGAGGTTTGGAGGCCCTTTCCGCAGCAGGTGATGGCCAATGCCACCTACAAGGTTATACGCTTCTTCTATCCCCCCTTCGCCCTGGAAGCAGTCCATGTCACCCACGTGGTCGGCGATCCCCAGCTGAACGGCCTAAATGCGGCACTGTTTCTGGGCTGCCCCCTGTTGCTGGTCAGCTTTGGCTATGCGGTGTACAAGTATAAGCTGAAGAAGGTACGTTTTTGAGCTCGTACTTGGGGGGAACTTGACTATTTTATCCGAGACCTACAGAAACGTGTGGTTCGAACGTCACCAGAGCGCTTAAACGAGCTTGAGCAGCGTATGATTGCCAAGTACGGCCCGGAGTACAAGAAGGGAATATGGAAGAGAAAGGACATTCCTGATCCCCTTCTGGAAGGAAAAAAGACCACTGAACCAGAATCCAGCGACAAATTCACCAACGTAAATAGTTGCGATGAGGAGGTCAAGTGCTACCTGGATAATCAGATAGACCTGGTTGAGCAAATCGATAACACGATCAGAGAACGTTCCGGTTTGGAAACCCAGACAGCACAGTAGGGACTTTTCGCTGTCTCCAATTTAGCCTGAACAACCTTTTTTGTATCCGCTTAAAGAAAAAAATCGTTTTCAGATCCTTCAATTTCGTTTAATGATTGGGACCTTTTTCTCCGGCTGGAAAAGTGTCAGCTTTCGGCTGCCTCTGTTGGTGCAATAAAATGAAGTGATTTTCCGGTTTTATATTTGGCGCAAGCACACAGACAAACCCGCACACAAAAGAAGAGGGAAGACATTGCACATGGGATTAGGGCGGGGTTTGGAGCGAGGACTTGGGCAATCATTTGGCAGCGCATGTGTCGGATTATTTTGTTGGCTTGCGTTTTATTTAAATTTGCTGCTTTCGGCTGCCTTTTTGCTCGTGCGGTGGTTGTTTGTCGCCCCAAATCTGACAGCAGCTGAAAAGCATGCTAAGCTTTCCCACTTTCTTTTTGGTTTGGCTCTGGCAACAAATTAATGATTTGCCATCAAGCAAATAAATCAAAAGCTTCAGCTTGTGAGCAGATCTCTGGCTTAGTTCGGTGGTGTGATGGCTGGTGGCTGATGGATTCTGTGGCTGGCTGCGATTTAAAGGCCCTTTCATTTCGCCTGCCCCACTTTAAAGTGAGGCCCCGGATTCATAGTTTTATTTTGCAGCTATTTCCACTCAACTAAGCGCATGCATTGATGATATATCCCCCCGACCGTTTGACACCCCTTCCCATTTTTCCCAGTTCCCATTTCCCATCGACACGACATAAATAACCGTGCGAGGCTGTTATAATTTATAATCCTTGCTGTGGGCGGGCCACGACAAACAACAACAACAAGAACAGAAACAACAAGAGCAGAAATAACATTGGACTGCCACGGGGAGTGCAAATATTTTTGCTTTCTCTTCTCCGGCTCTATGATCCTACTTCTTTTTTTGTCGCATTTTATTTATTCGAAACCTGCCCAGGCGGAATCTCGCCGGCTCAGCCAGCCTCACTCAGGTTGGCAGCACAAATATTTTGTTGGCTCCCCTCTCCTATGCCACGCCCCCTCTTGCCTGCATTTAGTTTGTGTGTGTGTGTGTGGGTGTGTTGCCTTTTTCTCCGGTGAAATGAGGTCAAAAGTTTATTGGCTAACAAATGTGTGTGAAGGTAGGCGGGGTGTTGTTTTCGCAGGCATTAATGTCAGACGCAAACGAGACTGCAGAGTTTTGGGTACCGCTTTACTGGCAATAAACAAATTGCATGCACTTAGCTTCAGGCCTCCCAGCGAGATGGAAGGGATTAGGCCAATCGAAGCGGGGCTTAAATGCAGCACACTCGGTGGTTGACCACAAAAACGAATCAGCCTGCAATAGCTGGTATCTCGTGCTAATTACAAACCAATCAAACAACTAATAAATTACAGATAAATTATGAACGAATATCAACATTAGGTAATGTATTGCGAGGCAACACGAGGGAAAATAACAATATAAGCAAATTAAGCTAGACAAAACTAGAAATGCCAAACGCATTAAAATGTTAACTATTTAAATTATGTTTTCAAAAGAACAGTGGAGCATAACGGGTAACTATTTTAATTATTTGCGGCAAATCGCTCAACATGTTTGTCGGATGCACACGCATAAACTCTCAATCTAACGTTTTTAGTGGGCCGATATGAGATGGAAGGTACTGAAGTTTCCATTTACATTCCACTGAACATCAATCAAAGTGCTGTTACGTAGGTCGAACCGATGAATTCGAGTTTTTTTTTTTTCAATCAGTCCAAGGTGAACTTATCCTCCCTCAGGCGCTTTAAGTTTACTCCCCATAAAAGCATTTGGTTCAATGTTTAATGAGGACGGACTGAATAATAGAGAAGGCCTACCTTTGTATTTACCACCGCCACCGCGGGGAAAACAACCCCTTCCCGGAGCAAAAGGCTGACGCAATGATTATGACAGCTTCTTTGCCGACTCGCACTGAGTCCTCCCTGTACTTGGGCCAGATTTCCTGGCAGCTTGGGCTTTAATTAAACGGCAATTGTGGTCATCAGTTGTCAGGTTCTCTTGTGCCTAATCAGTTTGTGTGATGAAAGACTAAGCTGGGATTACGGAATGTCTGCCATGCGGGTGCGACATTTGAATAATGAATGTCATCTCGATGTTCGTCTTGCAAGGGGAAAAATATAAGCCCGGCCTAAGTCCCAAATGTCACTCAGCTGTCAATTGTGAGCCAATCTGAGGCGCAGAGATTCGGACTCGGGCGGCGTCGCAAGTGGAGGTCAACTAATTGGGGCGTGGCCTGTTTCAGCCAGCTGACAAACTAACTAACTGACCAACTAACTGACGTAACCAGGCGGGGCAATTGGCCAGCCTGTTGGTCCGTCTCTCCATTTGTCCATCGGTCCAAGTGTCCGAATGTCAGTTTACTTGTCCCTGCTGTACGTCTACTGTTTGACCATAAACTAATGCACCTAATTGCTGTGATTATGTCGTTTGTGATTATCTGAGTGCGCCCCTGAGTCCTTGTCCCCGCTCCCATTCCCGTTCCCATTCCCGTTCCCATTCCCGCTCCAATTCTCGTTCTCGTCTTCGGAGAGTCCAGAGTTGCCCGTCGGCACACGTTGCATGCAATTAGGCGCCGCAAAAGCTAAATCTCATTTATCAATCACGTGTAACGTGTACTCTGCCAGTTGGCGCGACAATGTTCGATAATTGGCCAAAGTCATCATCGATAATCCCAGCTCGCTCCGGATTCCGACGATGATTGGGTTAACAAACAACCCCACTTCCGTCCGACTCAGCTCCCAAAACTTTGGCCACCCCTTTTGCTCGGGCTGATTCATCTTCGGCTTGTCGCAAACTTTTTGCTGAGAAGTGTGACAAGTTTTTAAGGCCCATAACTAAGGCAGCAAAGCAGCCACCCCAAACTCCCAGCTCACCTTGGGTGAACGACTCCAAGTGGCAGGCTGCCCCCGCCCAAAAATGCTGTGGTTTCCTGCCACCAGTCCAGGCCCATTACACATGTAGTAGGTAGAAAGTAGAAGGTAGAAGCAATAATAGTAAATTTAAACCCACCCAACTGGGCGGAAATGGGGACGGAGAGCCTTCACATGACTAGTTAAACGTTAAACTTTTTGCCATTGTAATAGTTCTGCTTGGTTGGTTTCTCTTTCTTTTGAGACAGAAACCGAGCCGAAGCGAATACCACAAAACCGAAGGTTCCTGGGGGTGGCTGCTTTACATGCTCCTGGGTTCTCTGCTCGGGTTTCTCTGGTTATGCGCATAATTTATAGAGTGCGACAATATGTTGCCCTCTGTCTGGCTCCCCAGAAAACTTTTCCATTCCCGTTCAAGAAAGTAAGATTTCTCTGACCGATACAGCTGCCAAGTTTGAGTGTGCCAGTGTGTGCCAGTGTGTGCGTTGCGTGTGCGGTCCACTTTTGGGGGTCAAAGAGCAGGCAGAAGTCAAGGCTATTACCATAAGGGTATCTGGAAGACGCTCTTCCACGCTCTTCTCTCGCCAAGGACTTTCTCTCAACCGCCACCAGATTGCGAATTCTCATTGATGTCAGCTCCAGTTCCCTTTGGAACTGGGCAAAAACTGAAACTCTGGCACAGCAGTCGCCCCACACGAGTCGTTTTTTTCGACAAACGTTTGGGGCGATAAAAATGCAGAAACAAAAACATTTGGTTAGTTGCATAAATTTTGTTATATTTGCCACTGCCGCCGGTTCGCTGATAAAAACAGCGTCGAAAAAGTGTCGTCGAGGGAGCAACTTAAGTAAAACTGCGCAGAGCCCAAGCGGTAAGTGCGGGCCAGGGCGAGATGTAGCCAGATAGGAAAACGGGTTTGCTGCGTTGCCTAAACAAGCTGCGGGGCGGCATCAACAGCAACAACAGTAACAGCAACAACAGTAACAGCAACAGCAACAACAGCAACAGCAGCCGCAGGAGCGACAAACAAACGAAAAAAGTTTTAAATACACATTTACGCTGAGCAAAGTTGTTCTCGTTTCCCTAGCATTAAAATTTAAATATTTGTTGCCTTGGCATACTTTTTAGCTGTCGGCCCAACACTCACTCCACAAATGGGGCCCTGCAGTTCAATGGCCTCCTCAAGACGCCAGGGCGGGAAAGTTCGCCATAAGTTTCTCGCATGCCTCTTAATCCTGCCGCAAATCCCATGCCGCAAAATTACATACACATGCAACCCGCCCGCTTGTATCTCTATTTACGAGTTATGTCCCACGTAAAGGTAAATAAAGTTGCAACAAGCGCTGCAGCTCGCTCATTGCATGCCACCAAAGTGACGTGTTCCCTCCGCCCTCTCCAGCTTGGTGGCTTGCCGTACAAATCCCAAAACCATTTCACTAATTGAAATGAATTTTCATACACCAGAAAGAGGAGCAGCAGGATGTGGGTTGACTTGGGCCCACATGCATTTGCGGGTGTGCGAGTTTGCGATTGTGCGAGTGTGAGTGTGAGTGGCAGACACTTTCGTGTCGCAGCACAAAATTGCAATGACCTCGGGCAACAAGCAGAGCGTTGCAGCCAAATATGGGAAATATACGGCAAAAGGCAGCCAGGATGCTGGCACATCACAAGATCCTACGTCGCACACAGTTGAATGACTTATCATCCGGGTGGAAGTGGAAGCTGGAAACTGAAAGCCTTAAGACCCCAAAGCATCCCAGCAAAGCTGTCGAATGAAATATGAATTTGGAATAGTCTTTGGGTATATATAATTTATCAGTGCTCTGCTCTTGTGCTGCCGACTCCCACTAACGTTCTAAAAATATTCCAATTAAAAATTCATATGGAGTAATTTTGTGCTGCTGGGATTTAAATTCGGATTGCAGTGGGCTTGCTTCGTGTTAGCCGATCCCCAAAAGGATTGAACCACTCGACGTGTCTCAAGATGCTGACGGAGAAAGTAAACGCTGCTTTCTTTTTATTTAAATAATTATGCAAAATCCCCCCTTCCTCTCCCCGTCCTAAGGAATTTTCAAGTTCATAATTATGCGATGGCTGGCTGAATTCCCGGAGCAGCTCTTTCCCTCTTACCACTTCCTCCTCCTTCTCTTCCATTTTTAATTTATTTTGAATAAGCAGAAAAGGCACAAAAGACGTTGCCCAGACACTGTTGGCATTTCCCCCAACGGAAGCTGTTGCAGATGCTGATGCTGAAGCTGCCGCTTGTTTACATTCTGAGCGGCGGCCAGGCGCTCCTTGCAGCTCGGTTGCGTATACGTAATGTGACGTGGGGGTGCCTATTGAAAGGCGTCGAGCGTGGCATGTAAATGCAAAATGGCGACAAAGCGAGCCTGGAGGGAACTCGCCCCACTGGCCCGCTCTTCTGTGTGGCAGGCTATTCTAAGCCATTTGCTTGGCATTGGCTTGTTTTGTACAACCGGGTAACATTATTTTAATTAACATATTTATGCGAGGCGGGGGATAATCAGCAACAAACAAAAGCCGAGTCACTCTCCCACATACGGTCCGTGTGCATTGCAATTTTAATTATACACACAACACCCAGCCGCCAGCATAGATGCCACAGCGGCAAATCTTGTGGCACAAGCAAAGCAATGTTGCCGACTGAAAATCATTAAAAATTGTTTGCGAAGGGCGAAATCATTAAAAACATATAAATTATGCAGGCCCCCCCAACTCCACCCCATCAGCCATGCACATGCCTGCCTCATAATTATGCAGCATATAGATGCCACCAGAAAGGACGAAGGATGCGAAGGATGCTGGGGACGCAAGCAAACATTGTTTTGTTAATGTTCTGCATGACTTCGCTGCATATTTTCGTGGGGAGGCCAACGCTGAGCCAAGACGAGAAGGATTCAAAGGAAATTTCGTATGCGCACCTGAAAGTATGCTTTAAGAAATTCAGGAGCCCAGACAGCGCAAAACTTAACCCGTATCCCTGCGCCTAATTAAGTCGTCTAAGTAGTAAAGTTCAGGCACCTTTAGTGCCCCGGAATTTCAGGTATTTCGGGCAAAGAGCAGAGCTTTCGGTAGGCCCCACTTGGGTCGTTCAGTCCAATCGCACTCAATATCAATAAATCCCGCAACAATCTGCATTCAAAAATCAAAGGATACACACAGGCACGGAGCGGGGGACGGGGGACGGGGCACACGGGAAGACGGGAAGACGGGCCAGACAGGCCAACATAAAATGCCAATTTCTAGTTGCCAAATGGTTATTGCCTGGTCTATAAATGCAGCAACAGCCACAGCCACAGCAACAGCAAACAGCAGCAAAAAACAACTGCCGGACTTAAATTCACGTACGAGGACCGAATCGGCCACGGCGCTTACCTACGGCCAAAGTCAAACCCAAACCCAAAGCCATAGCCATAGCCAAATGCATGTATGCTGATATATGCACACTGGCACACTCGCAGGCCATATATAGCATATATATGTCTGGCAAGTTAAGTGCCAAGCGGAACACGAAGGCAATTTGTTGCGTCACACAAAAAATGGCAGTCGAAACGTAGATCGAATGGATATGGTCAATGTTCCGCCTCTCTTACCGCTCTCCTCCTCCTCCTCCTCCTCATCCGCTGCAGACAAAATTAAAATTGTGCGTGAAAACTGCGGGGATAAAGGATATGCCACATACCCAAGGAATGGAGCAGCAGAGTGGCCCGTACTTAGCAGGCATAAAGTATAAATTACTATGCTGCGCCATAATAAATTTCAGTTTGCGTAAAAACGTTAAATTTATATACACTATACAGGGCTGGCAAAGGGGTGCTGCAGCTACGCCGAAATGGGGCAAAAACCCATTATGAATGAATTTAGTAGCAGCAGCAGCAGCGGCAGAAGCAGTAGCAAAAACCAAAACGTGCCGGCTCCTACTCTATCCATATCTCTTGGCCCCTCACTACTCGCCTCTTTATATTTATACAAATTTAAAGCACTTTCTGGGGATACCCACAGCCCAAAGAGTGGGAGCGGAGGTCAGTTGAGGTTTTTGGAAAAATGCTCGCAAATTTACGAGTATTTCCATGGCTGGCAGCAGCGATAGACCAGAACCAGAACCAGTCGAAAGCAATAACGACCGGCCAATAGACAGTGAACTAGACTCTCGACTTTCGACTCCCACCCCTCCAACTTCGAGCTGCGAGTCTCGCCTAGACTGGACTGCACTGGACGGTGCAGAGTGGGCTGAAGGACACACGGGCGGAGACAGGACCTACGCCCAGACGTCGGGGGCGTGGCGGGCTCTAGTCTAGGCGCTTGAACTAGCCTGGCCTTCTGGGAGAGTGGAAGCAGGCGGTCAATGACAGCGGAAAGTTTTTCTGCAAACTAAACTCGAAAGCGATGAAAAATTAAAGCAACAGGAAGGGGAAAGTGGCAGGTAGGCAAGTGGCCAAGTGGGGAGCAGTGCAGACTGCCGCATCAAAATGCCGCAATGGCCTGTTATTATAATGAAAACGAAGCAGGCAATGGTGGAGACCGCACTAGACGAGATGTGGGACTGAAAAGTTTTCAAACAACAGCGGAAGCCGTTTGCATTTGCATGGCCAATGCTCAGTCGTCCTTTCAAGTGCATGGCTCAGTGATTGTAGCCGGGCCAAAAGGTCCCCTCACGGGTCATTAACAATTTAAGGTGTAAAGTATGGTCCAATCAGCACGTGAATCTGGCCAGCGTTTTATCAAAGCTTCAAGGGGCAGTCAGGGATCGAGCTTCGTAGCGGGATCGGAATCGGAATCGGAATCAGGAGCAGCTGCCGCTTGGTAGACCCCCCGAATCACAGTGTGTCGACTTTTGTTTGGGATGCTCCACTCCAGATGTTCGTTTTTTTACGCGCTGGCTGTGGCAATTTATGCAATTTTTCTACCGGGATGTGCACATATATATTTTTAACTGTTGGCCAAACTTTTGTTTCGCTCCCCGGTGGGTGGGTGGTTGGTTGGGTTTGTGTGAGTGTGTGTGTGTGTGTTGTGCGCGTCTGCATCGGTGATTGTACACGCGTGTGTATCCAATCGTGCAGAATGCCCATTTTTATATGTATTTGCATATGGTGCATAAGCATTTTTTCATGCCCCGTTCAGAAGCTCAGCCAGAAGTTTTAAGCTACGTGCATGGGAGCTAGAGCTATCGTATTACGGACAAAGTTTTCCTGAAAAATATTATAGGCCGTCGTCGTACCCCATTTGGCTCTGCCTGATTCATTCATTCATTTGCAAGTTCTTCTCCTACTCGTTTTTCAGGCGCCAGAAGTCAACAAATAATATTTTCCATAAAAATTGGCACTGTTGGAAAAATTTGAAATGAAAATATTCTCTGCTCTGTAAGGAGGCAGAGGCAGGAAGTGAATGAAGAGGCCGCTGCCAAATGTCATGTATTTGTGTGTGCCGGTTATGTTTATTCATACACTGCCATGTGTGTGTGTGTGTGAATCTCAATTCGATATAGAATTTAATCAATATTTGTGTTACGATGACAACGGATCCCCTGCTGGGCATCCCCTTCTGCCACATACTTTGCAGCTGGCAGGTTAGAATGTTTATCAATTTATGCATAAATGCAAATAGAATTTCATAAATAGTCATTTAATTGCACTTTGGGCCCGCAGGAGAGGGACGGCGGGGGGCATTGGCCTATAAACGATATGCAAAATGCAAATTGGCGGCCAGAAAGAACACTTAGGCAGTGTCATATGCAAAGTCCATCTGCCGCATTGATGAGCCGGGGAATGAGTGCGACTGCAACTGCAACAGCCAGGTTAAAGTGCCCCAATTTCAGAAACGGACGAAACTCTGCATTAAATCCAGGCCACAGACGGCTGGGACATGAAAGTTTTGAAAGGCAGAAACTAAGCCAAATGCCCGGCTGCGTTCTCGCAGGACTTGATAAAAATACAGGGAGAGACGATGGGGAAATTATGTGGCACGCAGCAAAATCAAGACAAAACTCGACATATATACGATAACAGTGTGTGAGCGAGCGTGTATATTTGCACAATGCAAAAGGAAAACAAAAGGCGGCATAAAGCAAATACACAGGCAGCAGTAGAAAAAGCAACAGCAGCAACAGCAGCCCGAAAGTGTGCTACACAAATGAATACGCACGAGACTGGTTGTCCGAAAGAAGTGGAAGTGGATGGGCGGTGAAGGACGGTGGGCGTGGCAGCAGGACAACAACGAGCTTTGTTTATTTCTTTTATTTGCTTTTCTTTTTGTTACTTTCTCGCATTTCGTTGATATTTCTGGGCGGGCGGCCAAGTGTAGTAATGCAGAATGCATCAAGTATCCGCACCGTTGATGCCTGCCTAATGAAAGTCCGTTGATAAGGCTTCAATCAATTAATAGATCCATAAATGCTCTCTCCCTCAAAAATTTGTACCCGTTTACATCATATCTTCGGACGGACATTCGCCATTCGCCATTCGCCATGTGTGAGCCGCAGTTGTTTGTCAGTTTTTTCCGGGTTTCTGTTTAGGCCCCTGCGGTCGTTTGGCTTTTTTTTCGGTTTTTTGGGCTGCCGTTGCCGTTGCCAACTATTTTCACTCCACTTTCGAATGTTTTTATCCCTAAAGCCTGCTTGCGGATATGCATAGAGCGAAAAGACAAACAAAACCAACTCTAACCGAACTGAACCGAGCCCAGAGGAAAAAAAAGAGGCCAAGAACATTGTTGGAAAAACAATAAATGGCAAATGTATGGCGGCATTTTAGGCGCATGGCGCATAGGAAACAAAGAGCTGAAAATTTGCAAAATGCTGCGGCCTTTTCCCTTCCGTCGGTCGGTTCGATATTTTTATTTTTTTTATTTTGCATTTTTATAGCAATATGGCAAATGGAATTTTTGTGCACGATGCGAGCGCTAAACATTTAAATGAGTCAAGTGGCTTTTTGATGGTCGCCCCGGAATGGGGAGGTTTTGGGTTCGCTGCGGGTTGGATTTGCATATGGCTGGAAAAATTGCTTTGCGGAGGCTTTTATGCAGCCAGCTTTTGAGAGCGGGCGGACGAGCGGCCAAGCGGCACACTTTTCAAATGGGATTTATATGTAGATGGGGGTGGGTCGGTATGTGGATGTGGATAACGATCTGTCGGGTTTTACTCACTTAGATTTCCACTAGGAATGTAAACGTTGCCCGATGGCGTTCGCACCAAACAAGATGGCTCAAAGTCAACGTCATTGGGATTGTTAACGGTTAAACGACCATTTTGCATGCGACTCATTGTCGGATTACGCGGCGGTACATCCGGGGGGGCCGTTGGCGTGACTCCTTCCAGGAGGAAGCCTGAAAAAAAAGTTTGCAAAAATACGGGGAGCGTTAGTGAAGTGCTTAAATCGAGAACTTATTTTTAGCTTAATTGCATTTCACAGCCGGGGCTCCCTGGCAAAAATAACCGAACCGATGACAAATCGCATTTGTTCGCCCTTCGCTCTTCAACGTTTAGCATTCACTGTGTGAATGGCGAAATCAATGCACATTTTGGCACTAAAAGTATTTCGTGAATTTTTAAACTACAAATGGATTTAGTGGTGGCATGGCGAAATGGCGAAATGGCGGCAGGGCGCTGCAATCAGTTCGCATTGAAAGCCAGGCACAAAAATCAGGCGAAAGGAACAAATCGAAGTGAAATTATTTAACAGCAGAGAAAATTCAATTTATCTCCTTCTGCAGTCCCTCCTTTTGGGGGCGTTTGCTAAACAAACAGGCCCGGGAAATAGATACGAAACTGTAAAACTGAAAATTACCAGGCAAGAGGCAATTTCCAAATCGTGTTACAAGATATAAATAAAAATAAGGGAAAACATTCAAATGAAATTCAATTTGCGCGCTCAAAAATTTCAATGCCGAGCGAAGGCGACAATGAGCACGTGGATGGAGAAAATCGAGTGCCGAAATGCCTTTGATACTCACCCACACACTGCCGCCCCAAGGGTGTCGGTGTGTGTTTGTGTGTGTGTGTGTGTATGCCGCCCCACCCTCCTATCCTCTTCACTTCTTGCGCTGTAATAAATTTCAAAAGCATTCGCATTCGTTCGCATAGAAAATTTTAAGCTCATTTGTAGGCTTAAAAAGCATTTCGAGGGCGGTGTAGGCGTGGGCGTGGGAGGGGGCGGGGGCGGGGCCGAGCAAACAGGATGCTCGACAAATTCAAACGCCAAAAGCGAAAGAGGACAGAACAGCGGAAAGAGTGCCTAATAAAAAGCGGCAACAAACGGAAGCGCCAACGGCCAATGAACGAAATTTCAAATTTGTTGAGATTTGCCGGGCGCGAAAATCGTACCAGTCTCCTTCCCCCTCCCCTTTGCCATCGTCCTTTGCCCGCCCCACGAAATCCTCCTAATCCGCCCTCTAAGGACCCGGTGTGCGTGTGTGAGCTGCCCCTGGCTTAGGCCCCTTGTGGAGCCTCCGTTGTCCTAATCGCATTGCGCTAGGCCGAGACAATTCCCGTCCTCCTGCTGCTCCTTTTTTTGGCGCTGCTCTAAGCTCGACCAGGGGCCGGAGCCAAAAGAAGAAGAATCTGGGCGCACAAGTAGCCACTGGCCCGACTGTGGGAAGTTTAAGCTGCGGAAAATATGACACCAACTTGTCTGCCTGCTGCCCGGATTGCCGCAGGGCCTGCGCATTATCGTTATAATGAAAGGCGCCTCTCTCTTCACTCCCGGAAACAACAACGAATGCCTGCCAGCAAAGATTATTTCACGCGGTTAAACACAGCAGCACACAAGCACCAAAAGTTGCCCCAAAAAATGCTCACTCAAAATTTGGCAGCGGGAAAGTTGCTCTGCCGGTCGGTCATCTGTGATTAAAATTGGGCGGAGAATATTTGTGGACTTTTGTCTTTGCCTTGCGTGTAATTAGATTTTGGATTTGAGGCGCTTACTGTTGAAGCGAGCAAAATGGAAATTGAAATTGGCCGTCACCGATCTGCGCGGTGCGTATGGAATTGGCCTTGTTCCATTCTCCAACTTATCATTAACTGGGGAAAGTTACACTGCTCGACGCTGCATTGCCCTCCAATTAAGTTGCCATCAAGCGCAAAAGTTAAGCTAAAGTAGCTAACCAAGCCCCATTTGCTTGCACAGGCGATGGCGTCATTTAAATACACATAAGATCTGGGGAGACGGGTAATGGAGAGAAGCTTGTGGCGTGCTGCATGCATTAGTTTAATATTAAGCAAGAGCAAAAATGTCCATTCTTTTACAGCTCTTCTGGCGGGCATTTTGGTACTTTCGGTTCAAAACATTACAATTTTTGTAGGTAGTAAGTAAATTTAGTCAGAAATAAAACAAAAATAAATTCAGTTGACTAAATAAACAAGTTATTTTTTTAATATTTACTGACAAGCATTGAAGGGTATCTTCACGTCGTTCCCCTCGACTTGGCCAAGTCAAGGGCTTAGCCAAATGGCAAAAAAAGACAACAGCGACGACAATGGCTACGTTCTGGGCCAAACGAAAGTGGCTAGAAGAGAGGATTCTGTACTGGCCGTGGCTGCTGTCGCCTGTTTGCCTGCCAGTTGGCATCCGCATCCACATCCGCATCCACATCCTCATCCGCATCCGCATCCCCATCCATATCGCCATCCGCATTTATATCCACATGCAGACAGGCGTAGAGGAGCTGCCATGAACCGGGAGCCAATGCGAATGCCAAGCGACCACTTAAAGCGCAGTCGGAGGCAAGAAGCAGGAGAAGATGTGGCAGGATGGGATGCTGTGGATGCTGTGGAGGCTGTGGCATCAGCACAGCCAGGCGAATGAACAACGGGCAACTACTGGGAATGGCGCTGATAAGCAGCTTATCTTCATTTCTACAACCCCCAGCGTTTATTTTTCCCCTCCGCTGTTTGTTTGTGTGGCTCCTGTTGTTGTTTCTCTGCTGGCGCTTCTGTTGCCGTTGTCATTTTGAATGCGAATGCGAATGCGTTGTAGTTGTAGTTGTAGTTGTAGCTATAGCTATAGCTGGAGCATAGTTGTTGCTGCTGCTGTTTTTAGGGTACGCAAAATGTGTAATGGCATTTCGTCAGACGGAGCATGAAAAAGCGAGGCGAGCTTTAGTGATAGCCAGGGGCGGTGGTTCGGGGGCGGGGGGCGAGGGTGGCGGAGGCCAATGTTTCCCCCCCAGTTTGTATGTGACAAAGCGAATTTTCCTGCTGGGCTTGCTTTGTTTCCTTCTGCTTGCCACTCTTTTGCCATGCCATTTTTTGGTTATGCTTTTTTGGCTTGCATTTTAATGCTTTTATAATGCACTCAGCAGAAAAAAAAGAGAGCCACAGAGCGAAATGTTAAATCGGCGAAAATGGCAAATAGTAATTCGCAAGTTCCTTGCCAAATTGAAGACAATTTGACGAAGTGACGTGTGCATCGAATTCCAGGAAAACTTCAATTAGGGATCCAATCGGTCCCGGGTAATGAAAACATTCAAGCAGTCGAGTGAAATATGTTAATTAAATTAAGGGCTGGGTGGCGCACTGCTGACTGCGGGCATCGAAAAGCGACACCAGCTGCTTGTGGCATGCCAAAAATGGGCAGTGGGGAAGGCGGGGCCATGCCAACACCTTCGGCAGCGGCAAATTCTTCCACAGCTCCCGGCTCCCTTGACGAGAGAGAAATGTAAAACACTTTCGGTATGACAGCTGAAATGCCAGTTAAGCATGAATGGCTGCCAGCAGAGTTACTGGCGGCGTAAAGGTGAAGCTGTTGCTGTAGCTGAAGCTGAAACTGAAACTGAAGCTGGGCCGGAGTAATGAAAATGAGGCGACCTTCCTGCGTTCCCAGGTGGGCGGTTCCAGACTGACAACTGCTGAAGCGCTTCTTAACTACAGTTTTCGTTCTCCAACTGTCCTGTTTTCCCTTTGCCCGAGTTAAGTGAGTGAGAAACGAAAGATAAAGATGCCAGGTGGGAAATTGCATTGCAGTCGGGGTCCGAAAAAGGTGATGACAATCGCTTAATCGATGGAGAATTCTGTTTTCTAGCTCATTACGTTGCAGCCATAGCCACCATCAGTACCATCCATAATAACAATAATCCGGCGAGACAGCTATGCGGACAGGTAAAAGCAAGCAGTCCATACACCCAGAAAAAAGTAGAACGAATAGCACGAACGTTCTTGAAAATCGCCCGAATAATTCTTAAAATTTTTAGAACGAACGTGTACAGAATAAGTACGAGTCATACTTGATAATAATATTTTAAAATGTTTTTTTTAATACATAGAGAAAACGATATTTTTCGCTATATCCCTGCTTATAGTGTTTGTAAATAATATCAGAATTATTAAAAACAGTAAACTCTATTAAAAACTATTAATTTAACAAAAAAACAAGAACTATAAATTTAAAACAAGAATGTTTCGTTCTTAAAATGATTGGCCTAGGGGGTAAGTGTCTTGGAACATCAAACATTGGGTAAGCTATTAAGAACCCGAGCTCAAATCCCAGACAAAGTTATCAATTTTTTTTTTTTTTTTTGGTTTTTATGATTTTTTTTCAAACGTTCAATTTTATTTAAATTTTTATCTAGTTGACCTCAAAAGTATAGCAAATAAAAGCAATTTGATTGCAAACAAATTGCTTCGAATTCTTATACGGGCGTAGTACACAGCAAATTGTGATGCCAGTGTGGCGCAACCGGCTAATGCGTCTACGAATCCAAAGGCCTCGGTTCGAATCCCGGTTGGGTCGACTTGCAGTAAAATAAATAAGGTTTGCTTTTCTGTTTCCTTTACATATCAATTTATCATATTCTCTTTCATTCTAATTTCATATGGAGTCAAAGAGAAAAGAAAAACAAGAAAAAGAGACAAAAAAACATTTTTTAAAAAAATTTAAGTTAAGAAACTTTCATACTTGCATTAAGAATTTTTCGTACTCAAATTAATATCTTTCGCTCTTTCTTCAAGCACTTTTGAGTACTTGAACTGATGACGTTCGTTCTCAAATGTAGAACTTCGGGATTGAATAATTCGTTCTTGAATAAAGCCTTTCGTTCTTGAATCAAAAAAATTCGAATTTACCCTACTTTTGACATCGTTCGCTCTTGAATTGACATCGAAATTCTTGATTTTTTCTATGAGTGTACCAAATCCCAATGAACAAATGCAAGTGCACATGTGTGCCACGCTGCGTATACGCAATGTAGTGCTGTGAGTTGGTATTCTGGTTGGTATTCCCTAGGAAAAGACAGCTATTTCTGCTGTTTCTGCTGCTGCTGCCATTTTGTTGATAAGCAGCAGAAAGGGGAGCAAACAAAAGGCGCCTAAACTGACAATTGGACGCTTTGTT